CTGACCAGAAACCCGAGAAACAGTGTCGAAGGAAAGCATCACTGTTAACCTGGCATAGCAGGATCCAGCTCACAGCAAACTAAACACTCATTCAGACGACCCCGTGTCCTAAAGATGTACCCAGTTAACCTTGTGAAGCCTTTTCTCCAGTGCCACACTATTGTTTCCTTAGAAAAGCCCTCTTGAAGGATTCCGTTTTGCTTAGTCTGGGAAGAGACAGGCGAGTGGGGGCCTTCCTGACCCCCTCAGGCAGACCGTTCGTGGGGGCCAGAAGGGAGAAGGCCCCTGTCCAGGCCAGCCAGCAGAGGGACTGCAGAAGGGCAGTAATTCATCTGGCTCCTGACAATGGCCGAGCCCTGGCATTCTGCACTAGCTGGAGTTTCTGGATTCATTTAATGCAATGTACAGGGCATTGATCTAGTCTAGTCTCCGTGTCACTGTGGCTGCTCAGTTTCAATTTGTTCACTCTTAGCCATTTCACCACAGCAGCCAGGAAGCAGTTGAGGACCTCTGCCCCATCCCTGCCTCCTCCTGCTCCTGTTCGCCCCAGCAGCCCCTGTGCCCTGGCCTGGAGAGGCCCCTCTGCCCCTTCCCCTGGAGGGGCTGGCTGCTTGGTCAGAGTTCTTGTCCAGCCCTTCTGGCCTATGGAGGAACTCTTGCAGCGGTTAAGCCCTTCCCAGGTGCTTTGTCCTGGGCTCCAGTTTACCTGCACCCACTGGACAGACTGGTCCCCATACTGGAGGCCAAGCTCATAACATCCACTGTAGATTTTTAAAGAGCCCGAGATGTTTTTCTTTCCTGAAGGACCAAACAAGCATAACGTAAAAAGCTTGATACTTAATATAACCCAATGATGTTAATCCTGATCTGCAACCTACAACACGGACACTCCTTCTGAACCACTTACGTTGTCTCTTGTCCAGGGTCAGTGATATAACTCCTTTCTCTTGTGGTTTCTTTCTGCCTTTTTGATATCTTTCCCTCTTCATAGGCAAGTGAATAAAAGTGTCTTTCCACAGTCAGAGGCAACCCAAGAGAAAGGGGAAGGAGATGGAAGAGGAGGACCCAGAAGGCCCTGGAACTGGCAAGAGATCGAGAAAAAGTCCCCATCCCATTGAAGCAGGGAGTGCTGCTGAATTTTGGGAAAGAGCTGTGCCAGAGATCTTGACTGAGGACACTATGACCACAGATGCACGCAGTCGATGCTTCCGGCAGTTCTGTTACCAGGAGGCCGATGGGCCCCGAGAGGTTTGCAGCCGGCTCCATGGACTTTGCAACCACTGGCTGAAGCCGGAGAGGCACACCAAGAAGCAGATCCTGGACCTGGTTATCCTGGAGCAGTTCCTGGCTGTCCTGCCCCAGGACATGCAATGCTGGGTCAGAGAATGCAGACCAGGGACCAGTTCCCAGGCGGTGGCCCTGGCCGAAGGTTTCCTCCTGAGTCAGGCAGAAGAGAAGAGGCAGGCAGAGCAGGTGAGGGGTTTTCATGCACTCAGTTCAAGCAGTGCCCTTATCCTAAGGCTTCCTGTCAGATATTTCTGCTTCCAACTTGTAGTGACCCTATGAATTAATGTCCTCCAGAATGTCCTTTTGTTAAGAGCCTTCCTTGGGTCTTACAAACTGAGGGCCGTGGCTTCCTTGATTGAGTCAATCCATCCCATGTTTGGTCTCCTTCTTTTCCTTCCTGATTTGTCTTTTTGGTGCTCCACAGTATCCATAAAAACTCTCCTCCAGTACCACAGCTAGGAGCCAGTTTGGTGTAGTGGTTAAGACCGGCAGACTCCAGTCTGGAGAACCATGTTTGATTCCCCACGCCTCAGCATGCAGTGAACTTGGGTCAGTGGCTGATCTCTCAAGAGCAGTTTTCTCAGAGCTCTCTCAGACCCATCTACCTCACAGGATGTCTGTTGTGGGGAGAAGAAGGGAAGGAGATTGTAAGCTGCTCTCAGACTCCAAGTAAAGGGCAGGATATAAATCCAATTCTTCTGCTCCTCCTCCTCCTTCCCCCTCACCTATAGTAAGGGGAACTACTGTGGCATGAAAACGCCAATCTTGGTCACCAGCGACACATCCTTACACTGGAGAATCTTTTCTAGCTCCTTCTTGGCTGCCCTTCCCAGCCTCAGACTCCTGATTTCTTGCTTGCTGTCTCCCTTTCGGTTGATGATGGAGCGAAGGAACAGAAAATCTTGAGCAATTTCAAGTTCTTCCTAATTAACCGTACATTTCTGAAATTCCAAATTAGTTTTTACTTTTGTCTTCTTGATATTCGGCCGTAAACCCGCTTTGTGCTTCCTGCTTTAACCTACATTAGTAGTTGTTTCAAGACTTCACTATTTTCTGCCAGTAATGTGGTGTCAACTGCATATCTCAAATAGTTACTGTTCCTTCAGCCAGTTTTCACTCCTCCTTCATCTAAATCAAATCCAGCTTTCCTTATGATATGTTCTGCATACAGATTGAAGAGAAATGGAGATAAAATACATCATGGTCTGAGATATTTGCCAGTTTGTAAACCATTCTGTTTTAACATCTTCTGTCCTAAGACTGGCCTCTTCTTCAGAGTACAGGTTGCACATCAATGCAAACAGTTCTTGTGGCAGACTCATTTCTTTTAAAACCAGCAATAGCTTTTCATGATCCATAAAGTCGAAACCTTTGCTATAACCTATGAAACACACTGATTTTCTTCTAAAATAAATTATCTTTTATGCTCCAATACAATGCCTCCTTCTATCGGAATTGAAATGTAAAGTGAGTGTTTTCAGACTGTGGGCCATTATTTTGTTTTCCATCTTTGTTAGCATACTTTTGTGAAGATTTTGAGGGACTCCTTCTCTGTGCTTTCGAATAGTTCTGTTGATACCCCATCTACCCCTGGTGATCTGTTTCTCCCCATTGCTCTCAGTGCAGTTTTCCCTTTACTTTCTAAAACCGTTGGTTCTTCTTCAAAAGATTCTTCTGGAAAGGAATGTGTCATCCTTTCATCTCCTTAGTATAATTTCTCAGTGTATTGTTCCCATCTTTTCTTAGATATGTCTACCTCTAGATATTTCACTAGGTATTTCCATTCCAGTTTGGTGTAGTGGTTAAGCGCGCGGACTCTAATCTGGGAGAACCGGATTTGATTCCCCACTCCTCCACTTACACCTGGCTGGATAACCTTGGGCAAGCCGTAGTTCTGATCAGAGCTGTTCTTGAAAAAGAGCAGTTTCTGTCAGAGCTCTCTCAGCTCCACCTACCTCATAGGGTGTCTGTTGTGGGGAGGGGAAGGGAAAGGAGTTTGTAAGCCACTCTGAAACACCTTTGGGTAATGAAGGGCGGGGTATAAATCCAATCTCCTCCTCCTCCTCCTCTTCCTTTTCTTCTCCTCCTCCTCCTTCTCCTTCTCCTCCTCCTTCTCCTCCTCCTTCTCCTCCTCCTCCTCTTACCTGGCTGTTGTTTCAGATGTGGGGACAATCTGTGAAGATGGAAGCAAAGCTCTCTGAGGCAGAAGGAGCTCCGTCAGAGGAAAGTCAGAGGGTGCAGGCCCAGGAGGATACCCAAGATGCCCTGTCAAGTGGTAAGGGAGCCTCCTGCCCAGATGGGATGAGGGAACATGGCCAAGTTGTTGGGCAGAAGGTTCAGGACAGGAGAAAAGGGGAACACTTTTGCAGACTACATAGAATGGAATTCTGGGACACAAGAGTGCCATAGGATGTCGTGATGGCCACTTGACTTTAAAGGGGTCACAATTCCATGGCAATTCCATTCTTACTTACATTAAGTAAAATATGCACATCTCACCTCCCTTCCATTAGAGGGTCTCAAGGGGGCTCAGAAAGGAAAGGAAGAGAAATCTGGGTGCTTCTGTTAGGCAAGGTGAATAAATGGAACGTCCACATCCCCCAGACCTGGATGGCCGAGGCTCGCCCAGTCTCCTCGGATCTCAGAGCTAAGCAGGGTCAGCCCTGGTTGGTTCTCGCATGGGAAACCACCGAAGAAGTCCAGGGGTGCTATACAGAGGCAGCGTACCTCTGAAACCGCATTGGTAGGGGGCAATAGTTTGGGTTCTGTGTCCCTGCTTAAAGGCTTTCCTGGGGCATCTGGCAGGCCACAGTGAGAAAGAGGATGCTGGACTACAGATGCCAGGCCATGGCCTGGTACCGGGGGTGGAACATGGGTTGGTTGTGATGTCATGTTGATATCTCATCTCACCGACTACCTGGATGTGAAGTCAGAGCATCAGTAGGTGTCCTGGAAACCCATTGGTGGTATCCTAAAGTTTCCAGAGCCTTGGCTGATGCACTAAAAAAAGATTCTGGGTTTTGGGCTGGATGTGATAGTGATGTGTCATGCAGCAGGATTTCCGGTCCCCTCTTTTTCTTCCTGCCAGTCTGGACTCCAGGACAGGTGGGAGGCCCCAGCAGGTGGGAGAATGGCTTGCCTGGGTTTTTGGTCTGTTCCAGCAGGGGTGCTGCAGCCTTTGGAGCTCCAGGGTGCACAGGGCACCTTTCAAGTCTCACAGAAGGGTTGGCAGAATTTATGTCAAAACTCATGGGTAGCTGATGCTTCTCTTCCACCTCTCTGACACCTTACTAAAGGTTATTACAAATATTCTTGAGTGTAAAGAAGACAAGGTGTCAAAACCCTGGGGATGGGTGATGCAGAATTCAACGGAGCCAACAAAATATGAACTTCCAGTTTTTATCCTTCCAGTTTTGTCTCCCTTGCAGGCAGCGAAGAGATGTTGTCAACCTGTCGTCTTTTCAGAGGAGTGGAAACGGCTGCTCCAACTCTGGTCCAGGTAGGGGGGGAAGATTGGGAGAAGTCAGGTCCCCACTTCTTTCTCAAGGAGGCTTTTGGTCCTGCTGACCGAGCAGAGACAAGTTCTGAACCCCACCCTCTTGATGCATGCCAAACTCTTCATCCTGCACCCTCCCAGAATGCCGCCGTGGACAGTGTAGTCTCTGCCTGGAGTGATCTCTGAAGACGGAATCTGCTTTTCCTTTCAGCCTCCCTTTTCCTTTGAGGAGGTGGCCGTGTATTTCACCGAGGCCGAGTGGGCCTTGCTGGCTCCTGGCCAAAGAGATCTCTACAGGGACGTCATGCTGGAGAACTACAGGAGCGTGGCCTCTCTGGGTAAGGACCTTTCATAGGTGCCAAACGTGTGAATTGCTGCCATTGGGACAATGCATGAATCAAAATATTGAAAAGCAACATGCGGTTCTGAGGACTGACTGGCTACCTCCCCTCCTCCCCACAGGGGGCCTTGAGGTGGGGGTGGCAGTGAAAACAATGGTTCAGCATGGCCAGTGTGGTGGCCCTCACCCAAGCCATTCCTACAGCAGTCGCCTGGATGCCTTCAGACCTTAGTATTTGTTGTAGATGTGTCTGAGTGTTTTCTTTGGAGCTGTCCTACCTTGCACTGGTGACCTGCAGCGGGTAGTCCCACCAGTTAACACTGCCACCCAAGGGCAAGTGGCTAATGCCAAATCACACAGCACCCTCTGCTGTGGTGATGGGAATCAGTCCTCACCCCAAGAAGTGGGATTCTGTGTTAATGAAGAGATTCCTGTTTGTTTGAGCCACAATAGGATAGAGAAGCCTCTGTAGACACCCTCCGTCTTCCCCAAGAGGCAAGTGACCTCCTTCCCAAAGGCTGACTCCCTTCCAGCCCCTTGAGGGAGGAAACCGTCTGCCAAAGAAAAGCACAAACACAGAGAAAAGCCAGGAATACCTGTCCACTCAGCATGCCCCGATGCCCGAGTTCTTCCAAGGCCGGCCAGCACCATCTCCCCCTGTCCCCATAGAAGAACGTTGACAACCATGAGAACCCTCTACTGCTCTAAGGGTCTGCCAGATTCACTTCCCCATGTTTAGATCTCATCACCCTAGTCATGCTGAACATGTGCATATCTGCACGCTTGCTGTGTGGTCACTGCGTCCTTCAGGTGCTTTGGGAGGATGGAACAGGACCAACTCTTCTGGGGTCTTACCTGGACTTTTTGAGACTGCGTTTTCCTCTGGGATGGGCTTCCAGAGGGCCTTACTCTACTGTTAGGAGTTGATGACGTTGATGCCTGCTAATCAGTTTTCTGTCTCTCTCTTGCTGACAATAAAACACACTTCTATCCGGAGAGACTGGCTGCTCTGTGCTTCTAGGAAAGGCAGAACTGCCTGGATGATTCTGATACGGCTAAGTTAAGCAATAGACATGCCCAGCTAAGGTGCAGAGAACTGCTCAGAAATAGCAAGAAAATGATTCTGACCATGAGAAAGGTGCCCCTACACTGCAAGGCTGGTTTTCTCATCTGTCATTACCTGCCCCCCCCCCAACAAACGGCAACTTTTCCAAAAACTATGGAGGGTCCCTTTGAACTGTGGGGTTCATGTGGTGATCTCCTGGCTTCTCTCCTCCCCCCGGAAAACATGAATTTTGGGGAGGCTGAAAACCAAAAGTCAAAAAGTATGGTAAGTCAAATGGGAATGGGGGGGGATTTTTTTTGCCACTTTCCCCCTTAAAATACATATGGGGAGTTTGGGGAGGGGAAGGACAGACAGAATATGAAAACAGCTCTACACGAGGGCCTGGCAGGGGTAAGATATGACCGATTTCTCAGTTTGGGAGGAAAGATGATCCAATAACAGAAATGCATGCCCATTCCTGAGTACTCCCTGACCGGTGCCTTGGCTTCTTGCATGGGTGATGGTTGAAATTTTTTCTTTATTCCAGGAGCAGATGTAGAGGAGACAGCTGGAGAATTCCAGAGGTTCTCTTTAGAAAAAATCAAGAATAAAGATGCCGAAGGACACTTTGGAGATGGAGATGGACCCCAGAGGCAAGAGGGAAGCCAAGCAGGTAAGAGGAGGGATATAAGCCCATTCCTTACTGAGGAGGGGGTTTCCGTGCTATGCCAGTCCAAGGTCAATCAAAAGGAGAAGAGACAAAGGCCTCCATCCTAACCAAAGAATCCACTCCAGGGAAACGGAAAGGGTGGCCTTGGCAAAGACCTTCAGTCAGAGAATGAACATCATTTTACAGACACAAATTCCCTTAGGAGGGAAACCGTGTAATTGCTTACAGTGCGGAAAGAGGTTCCGTCAAAAACGAGCCCTTAGTTCACAATAAAAAAGTTACATGGGGGACTATATAAACGAAGCATCTCTGATGCCGGAGGCTTCATGTACTTTTAAAGTGTATGTTATTGTAGACTTTAGCATACAACGGGAAGAAGCCACTGTAATATTTGGATTGCGGATGGAATTTCAGGTGCAGGTCAGACCTCTCTTTGTGTGGGTTCTAACAGGATCTCTTTCTTTATTTCAGCAGGGGATGGTCAGAGGAATGAGGAGGATGAGGAACTGCATCCTCTATCGCTGGATGAAATCAAGAATGAAGACTCGAAAGGAAACTTTAGAAAACAAGTTAGACCTAAGAGGCAGAAAAGAAGCCACGTCATCCAGAAGAGGGGTAAACCCATTCCTTGCCAAGAGGGGGATTCCCAAGAAGCAATTCATATGGCGAAGGAAACACACAAGTGCTTGGTGTGTGGAATGAACTTCTCAGATCAGTCCCAGTATAATGTCCATTTACGAATGCACAGTGGAAAAAAGACCCATCACTGGCTGGTGTGTGGAAAGACCATGATTCATAGAGCAGAGCTCCTTAGACTTCAAAGAACACATACTGGAGTGAAATGGTATAACTGCTCAGACTGTGGTAAGAGCTTCTCAGGGAAATCAGACCTTGTTCAACACCAAAAGATTCATACAGGGCAGGAGATATTTATTTGCTCAGGAAGTGGAATGACGTTCTCTGTGGGAGGAAAAAGTAATCTATGTTTTCCAAAGCACAGTATAATGAATGCATGTAAATGCTCTTGGTGTGGAAACTACTTCAAATACAGATCACAGCTCCTAATGCACCAACGAATCCACAGAGGGGAGAAGCCTTTTAAATGCTCAGAGTGTGGGAAGAGATTCAGTCGCAGTGCCCATCTTCAAAATCATGTTAGAACCCACACAGGGGAGAAGCCATTTGAATGCTCGCAATGTGGGAAGAGATTCAGTTGCAGTGGCCATCTTCAAAAGCATCAAAGAACCCATACAGGGGAGAAGCCTTTTGAATGCTCACAATGTGGGAAGAGATTCAGTCGCAGTGGCCATCTTCAAAATCATGTAAGAACCCACACAGGAGAGAAGCCATTTGAATGCTCGCAATGTGGGAAGAGATTCAGTTGCAGTAGCACTCTTCAAAAGCATCTAAGAACCCACACAGGGGATAAGCCTTTTGAATGCTCGCAATGTGGGAAGACATTCAGTTGCAGTAGCCATCTTCAAAATCATCTAAGAACCCACACAGGGGAGAAGCGTTTTGAATGCTCAGAGTGTGGGAAGAGATTCAGTCGCAGTGGCACTCTTCAACTTCATGTAAGAACCCACACAGGGGAGAAGCGTTTTGAATGCTCAGAGTGTGGGAAGAGATTCAGTCGCAGTGGCACTCTTCAACTTCATGTAAGAACCCACACAGGGGAGAAGCGTTTTGAATGCTCAGAGTGTGGGAAGAGATTCAGTCGCAGTGGCACTCTTCAACTTCATGTAAGAACCCACACAGGGGAGAAGCGTTTTGAATGCTCAGAGTGTGGGAAGAGATTCAGTCGCAGTGGCACTCTTCAACTTCATGTAAGAACCCACACAGGGGAGAAGCGTTTTGAATGCTCAGAGTGTGGGAAGAGATTCAGTCGCAGTGGCACTCTTCAACTTCATGTAAGAACCCACACAGGGGAGAAGCCTTTTGAATGCTCACAGTGTGGGAAACGATTCAGTGATAGTAGCGCTCTTCAAAATCATGGAAGAACCCACACAGGGGAGAAGCGTTTTGAATGCTCAGAGTGTGGGAAGAGATTCAGTAAAAGTTGCAACCTTCAAAGACATCTAAGAACCCACACAGGGGAGAAACCTTTTGAATGCTTGGAGTGTGGGAAGAGATTTAGTCAGAGTAGCCATCTTCATATCCATCTAAGAACACACACAGGATAGAAGACTTTTTAATGGTCACAGTGTGGAAAGAGATTCAGCCACAGTGGCTTGCTTCAAGTGCATCAAAGAAGCCAGACCATGGAACTCATTAGCTCAGAGGTGTTGAGCTCATTTGTTACGAGGGTCGGATCTGACATAAATATCACTTTGTTGGTCTGGGCCACGTGTGCCATAAAATGTGATGCTAGCTACCAGAGATATAAATTTCAGAAAGGGCTCTGGAAACCCAATTAATGGTGGGGTTTTTTACTCAGAATAGAAACATTATGTGTATTTGCTTTATTTAATCGTCTTTGATCATTGACACCTCTTTCTCTGAATCATTGCATTAAAATCTGAAGCCAATGTCTGTGCTGTAGCAATCTTGAGTATGCTGTTTAGGTGTGTATCCATATGCTGAGAACGTACTTTTGATTTATTGACATTCATTTACAGAAAAGAGCTGTTCACAGACATACGTTGTCCGAAACATAGACAGAATTTTAGAAGCAAAAGCCTTTAGGTGGGAGTAATTCAGACCCCCAAACTGGTAAGATTTCCTAATGCCCATTTCAAAAAGATTATCCTTCAACACGGCATCACGCTGCTTCCCCACCTACCTGCAACTTGTGGCATCCATTCATTGGTAGGTGGGAGAAGAGGCTGTTCAGCAAAGAAGGTGATGAAGGGAATCCTGAGGGTGGGTGAAATTGTCATAGCTTGTCAAAGACTTTCTCCCGTGGGACACCTGTTTTAAGAAGAAACATAAGATTCCCTTTAAACCGGTGGGTATGGAGTTTAGCTGTACCCCCTCTAACTCCCCAACAGGAACTCCCAAGTGGCTTAGGATGTTTTATAAGGTTGAGAGGATGCAGTGGGCCCAAAGTCACAGGCAAGTTATCCGGCAGAATGGCATTTGAACTTGGGTCTCCCAGATCCTAGCCTGAAGCTCTAACTGGTACACCATACTGGCTGTCATTCTTGTGTGACAAAGGGTGTCACGTAAGAATGACTCCAGAGAGGGTCTAGACCCAGTTGAAAAAAGGTCCAGGTCTATCATCGATACTGAAAAGAAGAAGCTCCAAGCAATAAGTGATTGTTCTGAAGGCTGCCATTGAAGCGAGAGGAGAGGCAAACAGCTCAGGCTGGCCTCCGAAAAGCATGCTTTTGTTGAGTTCTTCACAGAGACGGCAATAGCAAGCTTTCTCTCTGCCTGAAGCAGGCCCTGTGCTGAAGAAGACCAGGTTTCAGTGCTGGGGGACTGTAGCAAGGTGGTGGAACCAAGGCAGCTGGATCACTGGGTTGGCCTTGAGAACTGGGCATTAGCAAGAGGGCTTGGAGCCGAGAGCAGCAGAGAATCCGTTCTGACCCAAAGAAGAAGAGCCGGATTTATATCTCAGAGTGGCTTACAGTCTCCTTCCTTTCCTATCCCCACAACACACACCTGGTGAGGGAGGTGGGGCTGAGAGAGCTCTGAGAGAACTGCTCTTAACAGAACAGCCCTTCATGGGCTTGGATCCTCATCTTTGTGAGATTGCCATTATGCACCACCACAACAGCTTCGCTTCTCTGTGTGAGGCCTTCTGCAGGAGCCAACCTGCAAATGGGCAAAATCAACCACTGCCTATAGCTGTGCCTTCTCTGTTGTGGCCCCCACCCTAAGGCATTGCCCTGCCTGAGGAAGTCAGGAAGGCTCCCGCTCTCCAGGCTGTCTGCAAACCATGCAAAACAATGATTCTAGAGAGCTTTTCTATGCATGCAATAGAAGTCACTGTACTGAATGATTCACAAAATTACTTGCATAAATGATTAGGGACTGTGGTCTGTGCTTCTGTGTTTAGCTTACTGAAACTAGGATCCTACTTTGTAATTTTTGAGTCATTTAAGGTGCCATGTTAAGACTTATGGTGTTGCTTTAGTGCTATTTTTAGATATCTGATTGGTTCGACAACCTTTGTTTTGTTTATTGAATGCTCCATCTTGTTGATTGTATTGATTCACTCTCTGTAATCTGCCTTGAGTCCAAATGAGAGAGGCCAACTATAAATAAATAATATCTGGCCGAGTCTCATCTCCCCAAGCCCCACCCTCTCCAAGGCTCAATCCCTAAATCTCCAGGAAATTGTCAACCTGTAACTGGCAACTCTAGAAATGCCTGGGCCCCATGAGTCCTTTCTCAAAGGCCCAAACGCCTATGGAAAGGACCCTGTCCTCTCCCCTGCCTGTTACTCACAGAAACCCTGTATAGAATGCAGTGGTTGCTACAGCCACTGAGACAATCCATTTCTTAAAGCTACAGGTGCTCCTTTTATCATACAGTATTTTTTTAAAAAAACAAAACATTTTCTTCCTGATATATTTCATTTTTTTCTGCAACCCTGGGGAAATTTTCAGTTTGTAGAAAGATCTGTCTTCCCCTTTACAATTCCAGTCACTACATTTAAGCATGCTCAGATTTTGCCAATTTTGCTATTAGAACATGTGATTTATTTTATTAAAACATTTATGTCCCGTTTTCCTTGCAGTTCAACAAGTCAGCTTACAGTAATACATTTTCAGCTAAAACCAAAATCAACGTAGCAAACTTCACATCTCCCCACCCCTTCCAGTACCTTCTTTTTCTGCTAAAGCATTTCCATTTCTAAAGATTTCTTCTTTCGTAAAATGAATGGTGACTGGGTGCCATCGCCAATAGAATATTAGGTCAATGTGGCAGTTTCCAAACTGTAATGAATGTTGTTTAGGTAAAATGTTGACTGCTATTTTGGTGTGGCCAGGATAGTTGCGCCTTAGTTACCAAGTGTTCACTGTTATTTTCTGAACAACTTATTATTTTTTGTTTTGAGGGAACGTTCCCTGACTTTATGGGGCTAAATTTTTATTCTCTTTTGTTTTCTGCCTAGCTTTCCATTGGATGACAGTGCATCTGAGAGTGCACAGAGTGCCTTGCGAACCCCACTGAGCAAGCACAGGGAGGCTTTATAACCCTGGAACCTTTTATCTCTTCCTTAGTTGGAAAAAAAAGTGCTAGGAAGCAGGCAGTGTTGAGGTTCCTAGAGAGGGGACAAAGTCCTCCTTTGGGGCACTTTGGCTTTCCTTCCAGCAGAGCAGGAGGGCTGGGTCTTGAGAAGCAACCTGGGGGGGGGGTTAAAGACCAGCGGGACAGGGAGGAAAAGCGGTGCCAGGCTGGGCAGCCCCACAGGAGGGTCTCTCTGGGTCCTTCATGCCAGAGAGGAAGAGGTCAGGCCGGCCTCCATTGCAGTGGGAAATGGTTCCATTCAATGTTCCCTCTAAGCTGTGGAGTCTTCTGAGCAAAAATTCTACTTTGTGAGCGATTGGCATT